CACAGCATTTATCGCATATCAAATTTGTGCAGCAACCAAGGTCCTGTGTGAATGACAACGCGTATCAAATTTCACATTGTGCGTGAAAATTTCATAATGAGCGTATAACAACGGCCGGTGGATTCATATAGGAGTCAGTTACACTTACATGAATTTCCAATACGGCAATTTATAGGGACAGCTTATTAAACCTCAATACAGGGGTATTGCCCACCTACTGTCTCCTAGGTAATTATGTGTTATACTCTGTTGTGAGGTTTCTAATGATCAGAATGCGAATCACACGACCACACCTGGGGATATTGAGAAACCGTGTAACGTTTCTAAATATAAATTACACTTTCTATGTAATGGCCAATGTATAAATTGTTACTAATATAGGACGCTTGTATTCATATTTTCGTCGAAATAGTCGTGCGACGGGTTCTCTATTTGCAGTGCAATTTTCTACAAAGGGTTATTATCTATATATTCAGTAAGAATATTAGTAAAAAGTATTTTTAACAACAAAATGTGCACTTTTACAAATAAGCATTTCTATTTTGTGTACAACATAATGTAGCCACCAAGGTAAAAAAAAAATGTTCGTAAACACAGTGTCTACATACTGGCCGGAAAAGGCAAACAAGACATTTTGAATTGTTGGTATCTGTGTAGGGTATACTCAGTAATACAGGGTATAGTGAATAGAACAGGGTATACGGGTTAATACATGGTATATTGAATAATACTGAGTATAGTGAATAATACAGAGTGTACTGATGAATAAAATGTATATTGAATAATACAGGCGATACTGAGTAATACAGGGTATGCTGATTAATGCAGGGTATATTGATAAATACGGTATACTAAATAATACAGGGTATACGAATTATTAAGGGTATATTGATTAATACAGCCAGTAGTGATTAATATAAGATATATTTAATAATACAGGGTATACTGATTAATACAGGGTGTGCTGAATATTACAGGGTACATTGATTAATACAGGTATACTGATTACCACAGTGTGTATTGAATAATCCAGGGTATATTGATTAAAACAGGACATATTGAATAATACAGATATACGGATTAACACAGGGTGCATTGAGTAATACAGGGTATACTAAATAATACAGGATATAATGATTACTGGTATAATGATTTAGTAAAATGCCTCGATTATTGTGATTGCCATGTGGATTTAAGTGTTGTATTGTAGTTGAGTCTAAAGCTTTCACTTTCAGTGTTTAACTGTCCGTAGCTGGCGGATATCCGACCTATTGCGTTGCATTACAGTCAAGTACATTGGCTATGATGGCGTGGTTGCTAACAGTAACATTATTTGCTATGAAAACTACAATCCAATTCAAAACTGAAACAAAACAGAGACACGGATTCAGTTAAAATGTATTCGCTAAACCTGTGGCGTTATCTCTGGCATCTAAGTAAGCCGCCCTCGAATCAAGAACTGCATAACAGAAGACGCAGCTAGTTTGAGTGTGGCCAATGATAAGGCAGCAAGGCGTGGTGTATGTATTCTAATTATTCAATCACGGGTACAGAAGCATTTAGACCAGATAATGACTTTGGCATGTCGTTGAAACCCCGCACTCAATTAAAAGAGCTCCAAGGCCATTCCTGGGTTATAGCATAATATAAATCATGCAAAGCTACATAGGATGCGCCCAATTGGCTAACAATGCCAAACATTTAACCTTCAACCCAATCAGAAGAAGGCAACTTGATTTGTTGTATACCGGGTAGTTCAGAGTTCTGAATTTCATCGCATAAATTCAATATTTGGAAAGCGGCATGTGCGTAAATCCCCGACTATACCAACACAATACAATTTGGCTAAAATTGTTCTGCCCCAGTTTTCCAATCCACGAAGACCAGATTAACTACAAGCATGTGGAATGCGATGGAACTTATAATTAATGCGCACAGTCACGTGATTCATGTAAATAAATGCAATTGATATACACATAATAGGGTCTATTGGAATCTTTCAAGATTACTAAATCAAGGAACTGACTTTATCAGACAAGGTGCGTACTTAAAGCATCGTGGAACCCACTTTTGAGCAACTTGATAAAATGATGAATCATGATTAAATAACAATAAAGTTGTAAAAAATTCATTTTATGAGGCTTGTGAACATTTTAACTAGTCAGTTTGTTGATTCACAAACAATTACAATTTTAATATGTACATTTATTAGGTGTGAACTAACCTAAAATCTACTATAATAGGATGCTATTCACTCTGTTCCTAGCTACATATTTATACAATGGTCACACTGCAATGCTGTGTGGTTGTGGTGAGTACTAAAGATAACATGTGGTATTTGAGGAGCAAATTGATTATCTTCAGTATTCACTGGGAATGATCTCACCGTCATATGTAGAAGTAAAACTGCACAAGTAAAATATGAAATTGAAAACGATAAGCAGACAAATGTGAAAGAATAGTGATAAGCAGGATCGGAGCCCATTGTGCACATGAGATGTACCCTTGTTTATTGTGGACCAAACTAACATTTTATACACGGATTAATATTGAATGTAACAAGATTTGCCGAATTACAGACTATTTAAATGCCAGAAAATGTTGTCATATTATTATGTTAAACTTGGGAACAATTGTGAAATGTGATACGATAATTCTATTGACCGTGAAGTTTTAGCTGAATTTGCTATACATTTGTGAACACTGGTTTGGTTGCCGACATTGAACACTCAAAGTTTTGCCCTGAGTGCCAGTGTTGTTTGATCTGCCATGTGTATTGAACTTATGAAACTAGTGAAGCATGAAATCCCTACAATTTCAATTTCTTTTGCGCAAGCATTTTTTTCTATTATCGTCATTTGAATAAAACTTCAAACAAAATGTGTCAAATGTTAACACACTCTAATTTGTTTCTAGCTCTACTAATAAATTTGTAAACAGTACCTGACTTTTCAAGATTGCAACAATGTAGACAATCCAACAACTCGGATGAAATACTTAAACAATTATGTATCGTGATATCCTTTATTGACTTCAAACCTCAATTTGGACGATGACTTCACAGGTCATTCTTTCATACTTGTGATAATGTTCTTTTTATGTGGAAAGATAATGTCCTTCATATTGTCCCCTCCATGTGGTCTCCTATTGTTCTCTATTGTCTTCGCTATAAGGGAGATATTGTCATCTCTATGTGAGGAGTTATTGTCCACTATGTTGTCCTCTCTTTGTGTGGAAGATATTATCCTTACCATATGAGGAGATATTATCTTACGCGAGGAACTATTATCCTTTGAGATTTTATCCTCTATGTGGGGGAGAATTAATAATCTATATGAAGTGTGTGACATCGCCATATTCATTTTCTTCTTACTGTTTTAGGTATTTCGGTGACATTAATGTCGGAGTTCTCGTCAGTTAAAGTACATTGAAATTTGTGAACAAACTCATCTTCCAAAACGCTTTATACTGACGTTAGATCACTAATGACCTGCTGTTGGCTCGTTCAAGCCGAATAAAATAAAAGTGAAAATAATTGCAATTTTTTGGGCAGGAAGCTGAACACAAGTTTACATATTCTGAATTCAATTATCGTAACCGGAATACATAAAGTAAGAGGGAGAACTCTATATATTCAGAGGAAGCAATGAGATGAGCAATGAGTGTTAGTGATAGATTCCTGCCCAATATTTTCTTCTGTAAAAGCGCCGATTAGTCTGGTTTTCGGTCGACTAGATACATTTGTGCAATATACTATTCAACTCAATGGGATTGTTAAATTTCGAGGTATAATCGTGAGCGTGTAAGTTATTTTATATTGTTCAGTGACACTGATAGATAGTCGTGTTTGTGGGTATCGGAGTAGCAATATTACACCATGCACACAAATGGTTTATGGACACTATTATAACTTAGTACGTGTTTCATTACAGCTTAATACAAAATTATCGCAAAACAGATATAAAGATTTGGCTGCAAAATAGCAGTACTCGTTCGACGACACTCTGAAAACACGAGCTTCACGTGTATTATTGAAAACATACTGTGTTTGCTAACAAAACCGTTTTTTATATCACGTTTATATGTCCAGAATAGCGAGCGCTATAAAAGAGAGTATGGAAGGAAATAGATATACAATCATGTACCATACGAGTTTTAAAATGATGCACCCCCGGCCCATGGGAGGTGCCATGTTGTTTTTTCTTTCCCAAAGAAAGCAAATTCTTGGTAACACATCTCGAGGAGATGCTTAGAACGGGCTCAGCATTGCTAATTTTGTATAGTGTTTCAGGTCATTTTGAGCAGCGGTGACACAAGATTCGTGCTTAGCATATCTTGCATTCAGCTCAACGCCCATGTGAAATAATAACTGGACTCCACGGGCTTCAACGTTCCATTGTTATGTTACTATTCGGTTGCGCTCGCTCGCCAGGCAATTTTTTTTTAAAACAATTAATAGTGTAATAATTCTGAACAAAAAATACCCCGATTTTCACTATATTGTATTATATAAAAACAATCCTACATGTTTGGTTTAATTGTGTAAACTGGCACTCTAATTCTCATTAAGTAGTACGCGCTATAGATTTCCTATTCAAATACCAGGGCTAAAACGCATAAAATAGAAAATATGCATAGACGGTCGAGAGGCATGACAAAATCGACAACCATTCTAGTACATTTTAAGGAATTGGCGGTAATACCAAGCATTTATTATTCCTGCGCATAAACAACGCAACAACACGTAGAAGGCACAATGGTTTTTACTTGTCATACTTAGCGTTTATGTCAATTTATGAAATGGACGACGAGAGCGGCGAGTGGCTGGTACGGAATCGTTGGTGACGTCACACATTCGATGCCACGATATGCTGCAATGAACGCGCACGTTCCTGAAGAAGATTTTTCTCGCAAAATGTGCAATATATTACCATTTTTGGCAATAATAATTCCCCTAGGTTTCCTTATTTTTATCAGTTGATCATACACCTGTACTCGCTATGGGCATTGCTCACAGAAGTGCGATCTCGATTCAGGTAAATATTTAAGCCTGTTTATTCAGTTTTGGGACAGGTTCAAATGTCTTCTGGATATAAAACTCTGCAGCCAATAAGATTTCTATAGACTCGGACAAGCCACGTTATAATCGACCATAATATACAATTAAAATGTGATAAATGTTGAAAAGGTTAAATGATTATACATAGGTTAATACTAGTTTGAAATTCGTGTCACATTCAATTCGAGTAAGTACCTACATCGATCATCTTAACGACTTCACAATGCATTCCTTATTCCTTATCTCTGTTCTTGAATATGATTACACAACATCTACGGGGAGTGCTTTGATCGTTATCGCTGATCGCATGATGGATTTTTTGGTTAGGATAAGTCTGTGTCTCAAAATGACATACATAACTATGACAGATGTTAAGGCTAGTGTCACATTCGCGCAACGCTGATAAAATTCTAGCCCGGAATAAAAATACTGGCTCAGTGTTATGACAGGATCGTGCATGTACAAGTATCTGAAATAAATAAATGAATAAATAATAATGTAATAGTAATAAGTTTGTTTACTCATAGAAACTTAAAGTCACTATTATATTATTCGCACATTTAAACTGGCTGAAAGAGTTTTGGTTTGGTTAGATTTGTTTAATAAATATATATACAAATACGTTTATAATTACAGGCAATTATTCTTATTTCCCCGTAGCAAATTTACCATTTCCAATGTCATTTCGGTCTTCAGTTTCCGACGACCTATTTTAAATTTTTTTTCGTGCGATCGGAACCTCCTTAATGTAACTTTTGATATATTGATATATAATTGTAGATTAAATTTTAAATAGTTTTATGTTTGATCAAATTTATTATCACCTGTTGGGTGGTTGCTAATCGTCATTTGATCGCATTTAGATTGTTGCATTTAATGAATTTAAACACATAGATGCCACCCGTATGTATATCTACATTACATTCGTTTCAGCAGTTTTCAGCAATTGTCTTGATTTTAAGGGTTACGGCAAGAAAAAAACTGGGACATGTTAATCGAAATTGGCGAAGGTAAATCATAATTACACAGAAACGCGTTGAATTATTCCTGACGAAATGTGAATCACAAATATTGCAATTATTGCCGCTCGTGTACCATTTTATATACACTGGTAAGCAGGTATATATCATTTTAACAATGTTGCACACCAAATACTATAAGAAACATAAATACGCCATTTGATAAGTTAACAAATTAAACTTATATGACTAGTGTAGCCTATGTGCATGACAGCCAATCAGATTCAACATATCCGAAAGATGTAAAAATGTTTGCTTAATACATTTTACTACTGAAACCGCCTCGATGATTGGTCATTGGTTAATGTAGCATTCATATAATTTGAATATTGACTCGCAGTCTGTATTTAGAATCATTGACTGACGCATACGAATCATGGACGCATTTCAGATGCGCACGTTTAAATTTTATTTCGAAAAAGATTTGTATTTGACTATTTATAGACGAACCATATTTAGATTGTTATTATAACATCGTTGAATTCGAAGGATAGGTACAGTAACTATATGCTAATGTTTTCATTTGAGTTTTTAGTTCTGTTTACGTGACGTATCGCAACCAGTTCTCTATAAAGAGTAGACCAATTTCAATGAGACTTGGTATCGAATTTAGAACAACCTTTTGTTGTTTGAATGTGTCTCTATCTGTTTTATGATATGCAATGATTATATGATACATAGGCACCAATTTGGCTTGACAGGCGGCCATTTTGGAAATAACATTGTTCAATCCTAATACTTAAATGTGATGAATGGTGAAAATATGAATTTGATTACAGATTCCTGCTTTCTGTGCCAACCCTTTAAGAATTGTAATACTAGTATCTATATCGATCACTACATATTGTTTTAAACTGTCAGGGCACTTCAATTAGTGACGGGGACCATGCATGTTTATGTTTCCAAGATAAATAATAAACGACAATGAACTCTTCATGGTACGCCCATGTCATTTAGGGTGAACCTTTGTGTAATTTAGTTGGTACTGCTTTAACACATTGAACAACTCAAGTTTTTTGACCTCTGAGATTGTAATCTACAACTGACTCATGGATAATTACGACTTGTCCAATCATGTAGTATAGACTCATCGGGAAATCGCTACATGGATGCACTATGTATCCGGCAAACGAGGATGTAGATTGCATGGCAGATTGTAAATAAGATATTGTACCCTAAGTATTGTATATTGCCTATGGACATGAAACGGGACAGGATTGCACATTTTCTACCGGGTATCCCGGATGCGGAGTGAAGTTAGCGTGACATTACCGAGAAACAAGAACTAAATATGGCACAATGTTACCGTTTTTGTGATATTTTTGCGATCGAAAAGCATTTACCTTTTTAACACATGGTATAAAGTTCGGAAATGTGGATGACATTAGAAAAGATGTGTGGCATGCTAATTGCTTTGTAGCATATCAATTCAGGGCGACCACATACGGACAAAGGTCAATATTTGTGCAGTACCCGCTACGAAGTAACACGTGGTTTTGCTCATTGATAATTCCAAATGTAGTAGATGATTCTTTCAAAAAACAAATTGGCGAAATTAAAGATGTAATTTTAGATTGTTTACCAATTTCGTAATGCAATACAATACATATGCTTAACTAGACCGCGAAGACAACAGCACAACACGAATACTGTACGTTGATCCTATCGACAGACGTACTGCCTGAGATCATAATTTGCGGTATTCTCGTGATAATGTTATTATTGTACATGTTTGTATCCAAAAATGACGCTTTGTGCGAACGTCAGTTTTGGTGACGTATAGGGAAAGATTTGAAAGTTCAAACGATATATTTTAGTGCTGATACGGCATTTTCACGAAAAGGGTACATTCTATTGTTTTCAGTGGTTGATGTATAATTATAAATAAAATATTAATGAAACGTGCATGTTTTTTTTGTCGCAGATTGGAAATCGGCCTGACAATTCGTACGTACAAATGAGAAAGTGCCAGATTTCATTTATCAGTCAAAACAATTGTGGAAGTTGCAATATTCATCAACATGAAGTTAATCCATGTGATGAGAAGACGGTTCACAATTAGGTGAAAATCATGCTGGAGTTTAACAGCTCACGGGCAACAAGAGAGCAAACCGAATACTGAATAATATAATGACCTTCAATGACATGACGTGTAATTGCAAGATGTTTACATTTTTTTTCACATCCCATGAGGATTGGAAACCACGAGTTTGCAAAAACCTTAAATTACAAGTTTTATGAGTGTTCCGGGTAAATACTTGTGGAGAATATCCATGGAAACGTTAATACCAGGTTTCTAATGGTTTTTTCACGTTATCATTATCTTCTGTGTTCTGTGTCGGGCTATTTATTTTATACATCAATTCTCTTTCTAGTGTGTTTGGAATTCTTGCCCATTTGTTTTTAAGGTTAACCCCTGATATACGTATTCGTCATAGATCGACATAATAGGGACCCTCGCTAGAAGGTGTTGTCTAGATCGAAGACACCATTCAAAATACAGTTTCATTAGCGATTATTTGAATGATTCAGTTAGTCGATAGTAGACGTTTCATGTCTAAGTTCATAAAATCTGACGTGTGGAGAGGATAAGATCAAAATCGCCACAATCGTTTTAGCCCAACACTCCTGAAATCAATAGATGCTTAATATATGTGATCACACGTTATTTGCACTTTGGTTGACGTCAGCAGACACCGGTGATTACCGCCAGTCAGTCACAGTCACGACATTTGATAACCTTCACCGAAACATATCACAAACGTGAATTGCGGTAGGTTAGTTCATCCAATTGCAAGTACCATCACAACACACTCTCGAATTCACAAAACTGTATTTAGCTGTATAGCCCAATAAGGTATTGGACGTCTAGTAACATTAGTAGAAATTTGAGTAATACACAAATATATTCCAATAGAACTAATGTAAATTGCGTTTGAAAGAATTATATTTTGCTATGATAATTTTTACCAAATCCAGCGTATATGGTATGTAAACTAATACCATGGTTTGCCGGTAAACTACTATTATATATTAGGTGGTTTGCGTATGCCAGACATAATATTTAATAGCATGATTTTATGCCGATTCATATTGTTGGGAGATACCGTTATCGATAATTGTATCTTTTGCATGCAGAAAAAGATCCAAAACCCCTGGAAAACCCTGACAACAGTGTCTAGGTTAGATGTGATATAACCCTTGTTAAAATAAACCTTCAGCAATGTATTTGTACAACATAAATACCAACTCAACGAATTATTTATACACCACCCCGTCAAGCAGGCCCATTGTGTGTTTTTGGTCAAACACACTTAAATATTTTGCTATCATCCCGGAAACACTGTAAATCATCACAGACATATACGACTAATTGCCTCAATGTATGCCAGCTTGCGTTAGTTTAATGCAAAATAAAATAACATACAATTATGGGATTTATAAGTTTTAATATTATTAGTAATTGTGATTCTTGGTTTTTGTAGACGACTCTGTTATGTTGGAAAAAAATATACTTTGTTATGCTATGTATATATTTGTGTTAGTTCGTGTTGCTCTAAATTTAATGTGCCGACCGGTCGTGCAATAAAACTGACTATTGGGATATAATGGTCCGGCATTTTACATCTATCAATAACTAAGTCGAGTAATCTATGCAATCTCATAAAATCTATCATAGTCGTCAAAGGAGTTTACGCATTGATTATACACCCCTAGGGAACAGCATTGTAATCAACCACCGCTCTGCCCATAGGCGATGTATAATTATCCACACCGTCTACCGTCTAGAACGTGCATTTTGATTCGTCCAGGAACTTGATAAAGGTACGGTCATGCCGATAGATAGATTTTTCAAACAAATGTCTGGTCAATGTATTTCCCCTAACTAGGCAGGCAAAATGGTGACCGCGATTGACCGCGTTTGTCCATGGTCACCCATAGTGCCCATGGGCGGGGG